CGTCCGCGTGTCTATTTTGTCGGTTTGCCCTCCCAACTTGCTAGCCTCATTGTCATGCTTCAACGTAATCTACCTTATAACTAAACGCGATGCAACGATGATTGAGAACATAGTTTTTTCAAAGATTCCCACGTTCAGAACCGACGAGCAAAAGTAGGAGAATCAAAGCAGCGGTGCTTGAGCACTGAACAGCGCCACAAAAAGTCTTGAAAAGTTCCTCCTTTCCCCTCGTGTCGGTTGATTGACTCCGTCAATCTTTTGGATGCGCCAGGCCATGGGTTAATCGGTCCTGCTGCATCTGTCGAGACCTAGGTGTAGCACCCAATGGTACCCGACCATTATGGAGTGTAAGTTGCGGATCATATCCCAACAGAGTAGATCTGTCAAAATCACCGATCCGGGAACCCAACGCGTAGAAGGATCGCCCCCCCCCCGCCCCGCCCCACAGCCTTGCAACCGTTCAGAGCAAACGCATAAACCCTCTCCGTATACCGGAGCACACCATGCCGAACCCATGCCACGCCAAGGGTACCATACCTTGAAGTTGAGCTTCTCAGAGACGCTGAGCATGAAGCAGTCCTTGACGGGCGTCATCACCTCACGAACGGTGTGCTCTTTGTAGTTCATCGCGCCGGCCACCTCCCTGCCCGTCTCCACGTCGATGGCACCGTGCTCTACGTGGATCTTGAGCAGCTCGCTCAGCTCCTTTCGCGAGTGGATGGTGCCGATTTCGTCTCCCAGCAGCCTGGGAGCGACCAACCGATGGGTGGAAATCGGTACCATGCGCTTGAAGCGGACGGACAACGACAACCACGACAACCGCAACAACCATGAAAAAACAAAAAAAAAAACAGCAGCATCAAGCAAGATGAAACTTCGCAGCCCAACTCGACCCTACCCCGCTGCTCGCCCTCACTTGTCGAGCATCAGGCTCAGCGGCTTGGTAACGGGGTAGAGCAGGAATATGATGCCCTTCACCAGCGGCACCACTTTCGACCCGATGCGCAGAGCGTGGCGCGAACATACCGCCTACGTTCGGGTCAAACAGGTTAGCCGGTGGGGTACCGAGGGATCGGGACATGGCTTTTTGGGAGCTGAAGATTA